GCGCTGCGGCAGACTCCCGGCGCCGCGAGGGCCGTACTGCCAGGGCAACGAGGTCAGACGACGGCGGTGAGACCCGGACAGTCAGCCGGTGGAAAGTGCCTGCTTTCGAGATGCCATGAGTAGCGGAAAACGTTTTTGTTGTTAGCTTTGACATGTCCTTCTGCATGTGGAACAAGCAGTTTTCAATGGGAAGTCAAGTGGAAACTCAGTGTGGTTTTTATGCCGCTCGTGCCTGAGTTCCGTGTAGGACGTGTGGCTTGAAATAAAGTGGCGCACAAGACGCTGCCCACAAGACGTAGCAGAGCGTGGTTTCGATCCACGGACCTCTGGGTTATGGGCCCAGCACGCTTCCACTGCGCCACTCTGCTGGCGGATAACCATGAAACTACACAAACGTCGTCTGATAATACAATAATTTTCAAATGTAAAACGTACGAGACTACACCCAGAAAAAGTGGCAGAGCGTGGTAACGATCCGCGGACCTCTGGGTTATGGGCCCAGCACGCTTCCATTGCGCCACTCCGCTGGGTAAGCTTGTAATGAACAGATAATTTGCCCGTCGTCACTTAACTCCAAATGCGGCGCCTCACCTGGCACACCGGTGACCTTCGGCACAGCTAAGGACAGCACAGGCGGCTCCGTGGCGCCAGGCTCCGCCTGCGCGCAGGCTGACGCCGCCTGGCGGGCGGCAGGCGGCAGTGACAAGGCCGGCGCCGGCGGCGGACGCAGCTGGGAGCCGGCGGTCGGCCGCGCCGCCTGCGGGCCGGCTGCCGCTCGGGTGATTGGGCGACCGGCCGCCGCTGAAGCAGGGGCCACAGTGGCGTGCTGGGGCAGCACAACAATAGTCAATGGAGTACAAAAGAAGCCATACAGGCACCTATTCAACGCATCATTACATTCGTTCCGTGACGCCATCACGCGGCCAAAAACATCTCATCAAAAGACGACGCATCTCTAAGTTCTTACTCCAACTCCGGGCACTCACCTGTTAAATGGTATTTTGCAGGGCAGCTTAGACGACACTGAGTGTTACTAAATAATATATGAATGTCGTATACTCATCAAATACGACGTCTTGGTCGCCTTCAGAGAGATAACCACACGACCTTCACCACAGCCACCAAGTAAACGTGAATGCAACGAGTCGCGACCAGGCTATACGACTGTGGGGGAGTAGCGGCGGCATGTGCGTAATGGGCCCAGCAGGCGCTGTGGTTGATGACGTCACCTTTGTTCGGTGGGTTCAGCGGAGAGCGTGTGATCTCTCTGGTAATACCTCGGAAGTTCCTAAACGGAGAGAACTGGAACAGACCCGTAGAAGTTGTATGGGGAGTCGTCTCCGCTAGGGTTTGGTGAATCGACGACAGTGGATCTCGGCGTAAAACTTCAGCGAGACGTGCCAGGTATCTTTATTATTGCACATACTCTACCTGGGATAAACGATATTCAAAATGCTGAAAGGAAACGAGGGGATCGAGATGCTGGGATCTGGCGGTAGTTTTGTGGGTTCGCGTCCACGTCATTGTGGTACCAGGCGCCCCCCCCCCCCCCGAGGCAGTGCATTCCACTAGATCAACCCGAACAATACTGTGCATTTATCGCCATATAAACGCGTGGTGTTTGTTGGCGTTTAGTCATGGTCAAATGCAGTAAACAAGGTCGTTTTCGGATCTGTCACTTCATGGGTCATCTACAGGCGCTGGCACGACCGAGCCATCAGCTGACACAGCGTCCAGCAAACACTCGGTGGTTGATCAGGAGCTCACTACCCACGTGTTGGGGTCAGGTGTATCCGGACCCCCCCCCCCCCCATACACACTGTCCGCTTGGAACTGTCGTAGTTATTGATAGCATCCTCAACTATCCTGTCATCTGCGTGTGCAGACTGTAGTGCCTTACGCGCCTGGATGTCACACTTTGAACCTCACTAGTCCGGGTGTTGGCTTCCCGCCATCCAACTCCCTCCATGCGACATGGGCGTCATGTACGCAACGTGCTCACTTCACCAGTCGGTCTCCCTCGAAGCATAGTGCCGATGAAGCCTAGAGAATTGGGGGAGAAACAAAAGCAGAGTTCATCTGGTTTCTTGCTGTGAGGAGCTAGCGACCTCTATTAATTTTCGCCCCGACTGGGGGAGGGGCAGCAGCTGACCCTCGACCCCGAGCCCACCGTCCAAGCCACTGCCTCAGTCGTCCTCGGAGACCGCGCCGCTGGCGGACCGGCCGTCGCCCTCGCTGCCGGTGCCGCCGTCCGAGCCGACGCCGCTGCCGGTCTCCTCCACCGCTGGTGCCTCCTCCTCCTCCTCCGAGGACTCGCCGGCGTCCGAGGACTGGCTGCACCAGCTGGTCTCAGAGTCCTCGGTGGTGGCTCGCCGGACGGGCGGCGCGTGCGGCGGCGCCGCCGACTCCCGGCGCCGCGAGGGCCGTGCTGTCAGGGTGAGGAGGTCAGACGACGGCGGTGGGACCTGGACAGTCAGCCGGTAGAAAGCGCCTGCTTTCGAGATGTCACGAGTAGCGGATAACTTTTTTGTTGTTAGTTTTGGCATGTGCTTCTGCACGTAGAACGAGCGAAGCCTTGAATGGAAAGTCAAATGGACACTCCGTGTGGTTTTTATGCCGCTCGTGCCTGAGTTCCGTGTGGGACGTGTACCTTGAAGCAAAGTGACGCACAAGACGCTGCCCACAAAATGTAGCAGAGCGTGGTTTCGATCCACGGACCTCTGGGTTATGGGCCCAGCACGCTTCCACTGCGCCACTCTGCTAGCGGATAACAATGGAACTCCACAAACGTCGCCTGATAATTATAACCGTTGTCAAAGGTGAAACGTAAGCGACTACACCCAGAAAAAAACTAGCAGAGCGTGGTTTCGATCCACGGACCTCTGGGTTATGTGCACAGCACGCTTGCACTGCGCCACTCTGCTGGGTGACCAGCACGCATGAACAGATAATTTGCCCGTCGTTAGTTATCTTCAAATGCGGCATCTCACCTGGCACACCGGTGACCTTCGGTACAGCTAAGGAGAGCACAGGCGGCTCCGCGGCGCCAGGCTCCGCCTGCGCGCAGGCTGACGCCGCCTGGCGGGCGGCAGGCGGCAGTGACAAGGCCGGCGCCGGCGGCGGACACAGCTGGGAGCCGGCGGCCGGCCGCGCCGCCTGCGGGCCGGCTGCCGCTCGGTTGATTAGTCGACCGGCCGCCGCTGAAGCAGGGGCCACAGTGTAGACAATCCTAACCATTAGTGAATAAGGTATGAATGCTCTTGCAGACATCCGAGGCAAGCAGTCGGAAACCGCCACCATAATCACGCCGCAAGGCTCTAGACTGAACAGAGGGCTAGCGCCAGCGAACCAGGGGCGCTCTTGGCGTTGGCGAGGATGACCACGTGAGCAAGAAGTAACGGGAAAAAAACACATTTCGAATCACCTCTCAGACAGACCTGCCACCCGACCCACTCGGCTTACCTCCGAACACCAGGTGTCGTGCACAAACGGCGGTCTTCACCGTCGCGACCACGCAGCCAGCGTCTCCGTGTGCACGCCGACTGAGGTGCGGAGCCGGTGGTGCAGCGGTGCGCGCGCCCGCCATGCTCGCTAAATAAAGCGAAGTCCGCAGACTGTGTCGCTGCCGGTGCACCGGAAGTAACAAGTGCAGCGCTTCTCCCCATGCTCCGACCATGCGCAACGTACTTGGTTTGGTGCAGACGTAGAGAACATGCCATTTGAGCCTGACACATTACATGAGCGTGCAGAAGTTCCTTCGTTGGCTGAAGCTTCCAAGGTGATCATTTTGAAATGTTTCGGGACGCAGGAAACTGAAGCACATATGACGAAAGATCGGGGGACTTTAGAGGCTGGGGTGTCAGGTCCGCTTAGATTTAAAACTTTCCGTCGTCCTGAAATGCACATTTGAGATCTAAAGTTTTGAAGCCCTGTGCTCTGGGGAAAGTCCGCTACGTATGCACACAATATGCCCTGTTGTAGTTTTTATATTCTCTTTTTGTCCTCATGACCCTCATGAAAGGTAAAAGCAAACGAAACAAAATAGTTCGATTTTCCGACGTGTCGTACAAGTCGCTTAGTCACTATTCAGCCAATTCGGCGTCTACCGAACATCTCGCAGCATTCCCGTGCTTCGCACTCCAACACCGTCGACAGGAACGGCTCCAGACGCCACGGGTAGTCCTCAACGTCGCTTTGCTCAGCGCACCCTCGCCTGTGCGCCCGTACGGGGGCGTTAGATTGCACCAGCACGCATCCCGCACCAGTAGCCAGCTCGTGCGCGGGCGACCTGCTGTGCCAGAACAGGACCGTTGTGACGTCGCCTGGACGTACATTGTTTGTCGAATCATTGCCAGGGGCTTCTGCGAACATCTGCGGCATTGTCTTCGTAAACCAGAAGCTGTCGAGGTTCACGTGCACTTTCGGCTTCGCTACCAACCATTTGTAACCGAACGCATCGGTAAGGATCCCCCGGCAGCGTGTTCACGTAATCCCCACGTTGAAATTAGCTCACCACTCGCTTCTGCATTATCATATTTCGCGCAAATTGGCCTAATTTGTATCTCCTCTCTGCAGCTTGGTAGAAGGTCTTCGTTTGATATTCACTCCCAAAAATCGGCGTTCATCCAGTTTCCCGTTTCATTATCCCCTAGAGCTTGTTAAGCTTCCCTAGAAATGCCATTTTCACTCGTTTCAGGCGTCCACCTGACAACCTCTTTCACAGCATCCACTCCCAAGCACGCTCCCTCTCAGCTGCTTCACTCCACTCGGGAGCGTCCGACCACTCATCACCATTCGCGAGCTTATCCCATTGCGGTGTTCCACGGTGTCATCGCGATGTCATCGCGGTGTCATTATGCCCCACCTTAGCCACGGATCACCTCTCTTCCAGGCTTTAGCAATAGCCCCTCCTCCCTCCGCGTCCCCTCCTCTCTCCGCAGCCCCCCCCCCCCTCCCCTTCTCCTTCTGCTTGTCGCCGGTCTTCTCTGGCAGTCACCAGCTCACGAGTCGGTGGTCTGGTCGGCCGTGTCCTCGGGGGACGTGGCCTCGGTCTCCTCGCGGCTCGGGTCCAGCAGGTCGTCGACGGCCGCCTCCAGGCCGTCCACCACGTCGGCGATCTGGTCTGCCACGGACATGACCGGCGCCAGGCCCGACTCGTCGTCGCCGGCCGCCGTCACCATGCTCGACGAGCCGGCCGAGTCGTCTGTCGGTGCCGTCGCCGCCGCCGACGACGTCGACTCGGCGGCCGCCGCCGCCGACGAGGCCGCCGTCGCCGACGACGCTGCGGTCGCCGACGAGGCACCCGTCGCCGATGAGGCGCCCGTCGCCGACGAAGCCTGCGTCGCTTCCGTCGACGAGGCTGTTGCGGCGGCCGTGGACGACGTCCTGGCCGCCATAGTGGACGACTTGCGCGCAGTGGCCGTGGATGACGTTTTCGCGGCCATGACCGACGAGATCTTGGCCGCCACCGTGGACGAGAGCTTAGCGGCCATGGTGGACGAGGTTTTGGCGGCCATAGTGGACGAGGTTTTGGCGGCCATGGTAGACGAGGTTTTGGCGGCCATGGTGGATGAGGCCTTGGCGGCCATTGTGGATGACGCCTTGGCGGCGGCGGTGGACGAGGATTTGGCGGCGACTGAGCCAACCGAGCCCTGCCTGGCGGCCGAGCTGGCCAGGTTAGCGCCAGCGGCATCTGTAGGGGCGGTTACCGCCAGTCAGAGGATGGGAGGGGGCGCAGGACGGCACCGCAACAGGCACCCGCCTGTGGTACACCGCAAGCATCGTGCTGCCGGCCGGGTCTGTGGGGACGGTGCGACGGGCACGAGAACAGTGCAACTCATAACGGCTGGAAGGTGTCGCAAAACGTTCAAAATGGGAGGTGGTGGTTATTTCGGCACAGCGTAGCCTAAACTAAAAAAAGGCAAAAAGTGACGTGCCCATTTGCTACCCGACATGACACCAACGTGCGCACCCGACGTCACTCTGACGTCACGGCAGTGCCGGCGCCGTGGCCCAGCCACCTGCGCTATCCCTGCGGCGACGGGGACGTACCCTGCGGGCCGGGCGAGTCGGCGCTGAGGTCGGGCGCCTGGAAGTCGACGCTGTCCAGCTGCGCCTCCACCCCCTTCTCGCTCATCTGCCGCTGCTGGCACTCCTGGCGTGCCGCCTTCTCCTGCGGGCACGCGGCACCGACGACGGCAGGTGAGAGGACGGGTGATAACAGCGCGTGGAGACGCCGACGTTTGCGGCCGCGTGCGGGGCGACGCGCGCTCCGACTTCAGGAGCGTACGCCGGCCATGACGTGACGGGGCGTTCCTTCGCGAGGCTCGCCTCAACGCCTCATTACGTCCATCAAGTCCCTCGGAGCACAGAAGTACGAAAAACACTCTCTGCAAGCGTTGATATGTATTCGTCGGCGCTAGCGGCAAAAATGTGTCGCTGTTATTTCACAATGCTCCGAGCTCCACGGTAGACAACTGATGGTTGGGCCGTCTCGACCTCGAATTTGGTTAAATCCCAAACGACGACAGCGCACTGGGGAGGCCGTGGACGCTTACGAAACCCGGTAAAACGAACGTGCAAATACTTCACATTTTAACAGCGCAAGTAATAGCTGTGCATTCCCCCTCTCGAGCAATTCACATCCAATATTAAGCACCCCGTTACCTGTTCCAACACGGGTCGCCACAAACCATCCTGGCTTCCGTGGTCCTCACAAACCACCAATCAGCGCCGCCATTTAGATTCGGCACTCGCCCGGCCCAGCCCGGACGCCTCCCCACCTGTAGCGCCAGCGTCCAGCGGCACCCGCACGGCCCCACCTTGTACACGGTCCCGAAGAAGCTCTTCTGCGCCTCCTCGATCAGCTCCACCTCGATCTGCTCCTTCTCGGCGCGCGCGCTGGCCGTCAGCGTCGGGGAGATGGTCGACGGGCGCTCAGACACTGGCGGCACCGGCGGCGGGCGCGATCAGAGGGGACGAGTGCGGTCAGAGGGCCGGGTGCGGTCAGAGGGGCCGGATGCGGTCAGAGGGCCGGGTGGGGTCAGAGGGCCGGGTGCGGTCAGAGGGCCGGGTGCGGTCAGAGGGGCCGGATGCGGTCAGAGGGCCGGGTGCGGTCAGAGGGCCGGGTGCGGTCAGAGGGGACAGACGCGGTTGGAGGGAACAGGCGCGGTCAGAAGGGCCGGGTGCGGTCAGAGGGGCCGGGTGCAGTCGAGGCCCATATGCGGTCAGAGGGGACAGACGCGGTTGGAGGGAACAGGCGCGGCCAGAGGGATCGGATGCGGTCAGAGAGTCGAGAGCGGTCATGTTTTGGATTACAACAGACGGTATCCTGGCATGCTCAGCTCCGAAAGACAGCATCCTGACTGATCGGATGCACCTGGTCCACTCCCATCACGTGCGCAGCGTGCCAGTGCTGCCCTCGGGGCGGCCATCACGTGATCGACGCGCGTCTCACCGGCGGAGTTCGCGCTGTCGGCCTTCATCTTCTTCAGCAGTCGCGCCTCGCGATTCTTCCCTTCGAGGATTTTCTCACGTCGCGTCTCCCGCTCAAACATCTGGCAAACGGGGCAACATCGTGCACAGACACAACACCCGGCTGCGGCAGTTCCAAACTCACATGGACACGAGGCATCAGCTGGCTGGAGCGGGTGAACCCCGCCCGAAAAGGTCATCGGTATCAAGAGAACGGCACAGGAGTCAGTCCCGCCTCGTGGCGCGCACGCGATCCCCACATCGGTACGTCGCGCGGTGTGTGGCGCTTATGGCAGGGCGGGAGGAACAACGAGTCAGTTGCGAGAGCCTCAGACTTCCCCGCGAGAGGCTCGGGCTCGTTCGCGGGTGAGACAACGACCCCGCGCGCCAAGTCAACCGTCGTAGTCTCTGCCACTCGACGGAGTGCCACACCGCCGCGGGACCAGCCGCGGCCACGGCCGGAGCCGGTGCCGGGCCGGCGACCTACCGCCGTCAGCACGAGCCGGTCGTTCTTCTGCGAGCTGACGAGGCTGTCGGAGAGCTCGAGCAGCGTGATCTGACCGTCGGCGCTGCCGGCCGCCAGGATCGAGCCGGCCTCCTGCACCCGCAGCGTCTCCAGCTGACTGTCGCCCACCTGGGGCCATGTCATGTAAGGTCAGGTCATGTCAAAGCACTGCACCCGCGACGTCTCCAGCTGTCACCAGCCTCCTGGGATGGTATCACGTCAGGTCAGGATATCGCACAAAGGAACACTGTTCTTTTCTGTGAAAGGACTTGCATGGCTAACCACACGTCGTATTCTCACGTTTGTGGGGGACCGCAGATATCGCGCCCTAGTCTTCAGTCTTCATCACCATCTCATTTGCGCTAAAGATGGAACTAGCGGATCCCACCTACCTGTACGGTGAGTACGGGCAGCCGCTGCTGGTACAGAATGTCCCATACGTCCACGGTGCCGTCGGCCTTGGTGGTGAAGAAGACCGAAGGTCGGCTGGGGCTCCAGGCCCCGTTTGTCAGGCGCACCTCGCCGTTACTGGGGACGGGCTCCGCCTAGTCAGAGCCGCCGCCAATCAGAGTGTAGCACGGCTGGAACTCAGCCAATCAGGGTGAGGCATGGGTGGCCAACGGCCAATTGGCGCAGGCTGTGGTTACCAGCGATTGGCAGGCAGTCGATCTGTTCGGTTAATGAATCGTTAGCCAGAGCTGATCACGGCCCACAGCCAATGAAAAAGTCGGGGGACAAAAACAGCCAATCCGATATCGCGAAACTTAAAGACTACCAATCAAACAGCCAGGACTTATAACGAGCTAATCAACGCGAAGCATGGCGTTCATGATCACGTTCATGCGAACGTTTATGTTTATGTTCATGTTCATGTTAATACTCATGGAAAAATGTTTTTGTGGTGTTAAGATCCCGACCCTAATCTGCCGACCCATGCCCGACGGGCCGCCGACTGTGCAGCCACTCTGAACGCACTCCCCGAATACACCTGGGAGTGTTTGTGCCCACAACAATTTGGCAGGCTTTAACTTACCAACGTCACGCGCGTACTCAGGGCACTCAATCTGAAGTCACTCGGGAGCATGCCGGATGTGGCCCGTCTCTAGCGGCGTATGTGCGTGAGTGTGGGCGGGGGGGGGGGGGGGCTTACTCGGTCCAGAAAATGGCGCTCTCGCGACACTCCTCCGACCAGATCTTGGCGCACCAGTCGCCGATGGTGAGGAAGTTCTTCAGGAAGGCCGGGTTCCGCTGGACCTGAGCAGCGGATAGAACACAGACGTCGCTGATCCCTGTTTACTGGACACTGGCCACAGCCAGGAGCGTCAGGCGCCAGTTGGTAATGAGCAGCCGTCATGAGTTGTGTTACAGCCAAGTTCGGCGAGTTTACGTGGAGAACGAAGTGCTCACACATCGCATGACGATGTCTGGATGGCCAGGCACAAAGTGATGCGAGAACAGATGAACAGCAGAAGTCTTGGTTTGTAGTTCCTGTACCTCTAATCGTCTGTATGTTACCACGTGACCGTATTCCGACTTCATAATAACGCCTCCTGTTCGTCACCCCCAGCATCCACCGTTTCTACAGCATAATAGTCCCTCCCCCCTCCCCCCGCTAAACAGCCGAACATTTCGCCAGTCCTCTGAACGTCTGGCACTGGCTTCCCCACCTCGCACGTCAACACCGACTGCCGGCCGACCCTCTCTCAACCGCCCAGCCCCACCCACAGACCCACGCCAGCCCCATCCACAGACCCACGCGGCCTGCAGGTCTGTGGCCTAAGGCCCGTCCGAGGGGAGACCGTCTCCCATTCCCCTCGCCCCGTCACCACCGCCCGGCGCGGCGCCCACCTGCTTGACGGCACCCAGGTGGGCCGAGTAGATGGCGGCGATCTTCTCCGTCTGCGTCTTGCCCTTGCGGTTGCACTGGATGACGCAGCCCTGCTCGGTGCCGATCATGAACTTGGTCGGGATGGTGGTCTCGTACTCGAGCACGGTGGCGCCCTGCGCCAGCCGCAGCGACGGCTCCTGCGTCTTGTTCACGTCAATGATCAGCGTCTCCGTCGGCTCTGAGAGCTTTCGTGTGTCCCACCACAGCACCTGAGGTCGGCGGCAGGCCACGTCAGACGACCTGAGGTCAGCTGAGGTCGAGAGATCTGAGGTCAGGGTCAGGTCCCATCCACCAACGCCCACCGTGGTGAGGCGACAAAGACGGCCGCCCCACAAAACCAGCCGTATATCAGCGCGCTTCTATGTTTACACAGCATTAACGTGTGAAGGTAAGCGTCGGCGGTCGCCGAGCACTTTCTGTGCCTTTCATCGCGAGCAATAATGAATACGATTGCTGGCGTCACGTCACTGACCACCGTCCCTGTCATCACTACGGGGTAAGTGTATGCTACCACGAGTCCATCTTGCGACCGCCGGCACCTGCACGTCCTTCAGTTCACCACCGCACCCGATGCCGAACCCAGACCGCCCGCGCCAGAAGCCGTTGTTTCAGACCACCTGGTTACGTCCCCATCCGGCCGACACCCTCCCCTCCCTGATCGTGCTCACCATGCCGTCGGTGGAGGCGGTGAAGAGCTCGGTGCCGGACTTGGAGTTCACCCAGACGGTGCTGTAGACGGGGTCGCGGTGGCTGGCCTCCAGTGTGCTCATCTCCACCGGCTGCGGGCCGCGCCGCCGGTCGAACCAGCACACCCGGCCGCGGTACGTGCCGCCGGCCAGCACGAACGACTCCTTCGGGTTGAACTCGACCGAGACCAGGCAGTCCGGCGGCGCCATGGTGTAGTCGGGCCGGCTCGGGTTCTCTGTCGGCGGCGACGGGCGTGGGGGGAGGGGCGTCAGGACAAGGGGAGGTCACGTGTGACGGCGCAGCCGCAGGGATGGGCGGCGTGTCCTCATGACCTTGAACCGTGACATCATACCTCGGCGGCAGTGCGTGCAGCGCAACTTCTCTTTACGCCTGACGCGGCGTTGCATGGGACGGGTGTAACCAACACACCTGCCTTCCTGCCGTCATTCGCCGGGCGGTACCACTCCTGATAACATGGACCGGCGTTTTTGGCCGGGAGCCTCGCACAAATTGCTAAACATACCATTCAAAGTAAGTTGCAACAAACACGATAACTCTGCAGGACGAAGGACCCATCGACCGTCTTGCCTCCGGTCCCCTGTGGCGAACTGCAGACCGAGTCAGTCATGGCACCGGCTACGCAGACCGCTCCCCTCCCCCCCCCCCCCCCCTTCTACGGACGCCAAGCGGCAGCTGCTCACCCACGTCCCAGACGAATGACTGGGTGGGCAGGTCTTGGGCGCTGCTCTGGAAACGCAGGCTGGTGTAGGCGGCGGCCAGATGAGAGGCGTCCGGACTCCAGCTGAGACTGGACACCTGACACAGACACACGGCGAGTTATACGGGGTACATACGGTGAGAGGCGTCCGGACTCCAGCTGAGACTGGACACCTGGCACAGACACACGGCGAGTTATAAGGGGGCACATACAGTCAGAGGCGTCCAGACACCAACTGGGGCAAGAGACCAAAACGACAAACACAATGGGATCTGTGTGGAGATAACAATTCTTCGAAATCCCAATGGCAGCACTAAGAGCGACGCTCTAGCGAGCGGGAGCCATCCAACAAATCTTTGTGGTGGTGGCAGCACTCAGTGCTGACTCGTTGACTTCTTTAACAACTCCTGAGACTGACACGAATATTTTCAAACCTCGTTCTTGTAAACGTCATTGGCAGGCCGAACCCAGTTAAGCAGCAAAAACGCGGGACGAGCGAATACATGTATGGCCATCAGTAGTGGGGGACCTTACCGCCCTGTGGACGGGACAGGGGTCGCGGAAGACGTTGATGGTCTTGGCGCTGGTGGTGTCGTCCCCGGGGGCGTCACCTCCTTCGCCACCGAAGTACTCCTCGTAGATGTCCAGCGTGTTGTTCTGCTTGATGCAGTGCTCCATCATCTGCCCGCCAAGGTCACGCGGGTGAGGTCACGTGGTCAGGCCTCAGGGCAGGTTAAGACCATGTGATCAGGTCACCGAGTCAGGGTAGGGCGACAACGTGCCAGACAACAGCACCAGCGTGGTGATGTGTCAGGCGTAGCGATGTGTCAGACATAGCGATGTGTCAGGTAAAGCGATGTGTCAGGCGTAGTGATGTGTCGGGCATAGCAATGTGTCATACGTAGCGATGTGTCAGGCATAGCGATGTGTCAGGCGTAGCGATGTGTCAAATCAACGGATTACAGAACGGTATCGGGTCACGGATCGCCGGGGGTCACCGTAAATCGGGTCAGACCCCGCGGGACGAAGCCAGGCTAGCTTGTACCGGCGCGTCTCTTTCTTGCGCTGCTATCGTCAAAAAGACCACAACGGCAGCGGCTACACGCGTCACAACCAACAGCAGGAGAGACAACAGCGGCGCGTCACTGGGTCGGTGACGCGCCACGTGATGGAAGATCGGACTCTGACTTTGACCAAAATATTTGAAGATATGGGGAAACAGTCGGCTCCCTCCTTAGATGCGTCGCACATTCTGAACTCGCGGCGAGGACGTAAACCGCATGATATTTGGCCAACGAGCCTCGTGCGCTACAGATGTTGCGACTATGATGGCACATGGATGCTTGACATAATGGTAAAATCATCATGCATCATCATGTATCATCATGGATGCATGGCATAAGATGGCATATGGATACTTCACGCGTACATTGCGCACAACACAAATCGAGCGCATAGCGGCGTGGCTCGTAACTTCCCCATTTTATGGTCATTACCCCCTAGCGCCACAACACAAATTTATGGCCACAGACCGTCTCACTGACTCTGATTGTCAAGAGAGGGTACAAGACGAAGGGCAACATCGCAGGATGCAATCATTCAACAGTTTAGCATCTTGACGCCTGCGGCGAAGTCCTGGTGTACCGCAACAACCCTTGCTGAGGATGAGCCTGCTTTGCTGTTAATGATGATTATAAAACAATAACTAGAGTAGCAATAATGCCACTAACGATGACTGATAAAAACAAATAAAATAAATTCTTTATTTTCCATGAAGCTGCCATTGGCACAGCTTAGCTCACCAATGCTTACACCAGTTCAAGGAATGAGACCAGTTGAACATTCTGCCAACGCGGGATTCGAACCCAGGTCCTCTACAAACTCCGACATACCGTCATCGGCGACACCGGCACTCCCCTGGCATCAGGGATTCGTCGAGCTTTTATGAAGGGAACGCGACGTACGTCATCGCGAACCCTTTTATGGAACGCCATCTACTAACAGAGGTTACTAACAGAGGTTACAGAGGTTAGCGATCAGGAGCCATGGTGCAAACGGGGTTCGAACCCGGACCTCCCACGTCGGAACCGAGGGCGCCTACCACTCGGCGATCGCGTCGCCGACACTCACCGAGCCGAGCTGTAGCACGGAGGACATGTACACGTCGTCCTTCTCCACCTTCTTCTTAAAGCGGGTCGTTTGCTCCACGTCCTGGGGGTTGATGTCCTTGGGCCAGCCACCCTCAGTGTGATCGACGCCCGTTGTGGCGTACTCGGCGCGGTCCGTGCTCACCTGACATCAGGTCACAACAGGGGGGAAGGGGGGGGGGTCAAATGAAACCGGCTGGGAGCCTGCGCGAGGAAGATAGAGGTCAGTTAAAAACAAAAATGGAAGCATGCAAAGTCCTTGCAAGGCTGCATCCGGTGCCGTCTTCATCTTGAAGCATACTGTTTGGGGCATAAGAGCCGTCACCGCCCACAGCCCGAACGAAAGACAGAAGATTGCCGAGCCCTTTTCACCTCATTAAACCAGTGCTCCAACAGGACTATCATCGGTGTCAGAGCCCGGTGGCAGTGGCCGTTACTGAAGGCGAAAAGGACGTCATTGCATTGCTAAACTTATTAAATATCGAAGGGATATAATTGCGTTACAGACCACCTGATTTGCACTTGTATTTTTCCCCTTTATTTGGTTGCCGTGCACCGGTTAACACTCTACCAGTGACCGCCCCGTTACTCGGTTCCGGTGCGCCCCGAGGCATAGCTATCCATTGACTGGGACTTTCCCAGCTCATCTCAACCATCGTACTGCAAACACACCGTGTTGTGCGAATTGTGCGCTTCAGCGTCTGAATTCCACGCGGGCATCGTCTTACTTCGCGCCCTTGTGAAAACGCAGGAGACATGACAACCATGACATGAGCCACCAAGAGACGTGACATGACATGACAACAACCGCTGAACACCTCGCCAACCCCAGTCGAAAACCAGATCACACGTTGCATCAAACAATGTGTCAACTCTAGCCGGAGCACGTGCTCTGCCTCGCACATCCGACAGCCTCGCTCCCGCCGGGCTCGTGGCGGATTCTCGGGCCGGTGGGCCGAAGAGACGCGGCAGCCGTTGACTGACCTCATGCTCCGACATCTCGCAGCCGACCTGCGTGCCGCGGTGCACCGGGTTCACGTGCAGGAACTTGGCGGCCAGCTCTGCGTTCGGCGCGATGTCGCACGTGATGGCGGCTTTTGCCGGCACGCGTCAGGGGTCAGTGTTACGGGTGATGACACTAGGCGGGCACGGTTCGGAGGTTAGTGTTATTGGTGATGGCGTGATGCGGGCACGGGTCAGAGGCCAGTGTTACGGGTGATGACGCGAGGTGGGCATGGGTAAGAGGTCAGGGTCACAGGTATGACGCGGGGCGGGCACGAGCTGGATGCTAACGGCGCGCTGCCGCATCCCAGAGGTCAGACTAAGCACGGTATTCAACCGGAACTGATTGTGATGACAAATGCGAGACGAGCAGCCAAACGCCCGTCCAGCACACCGGTTCACGGCACATGGTGGGGCAGGGACGCAATCCGGGCCAGAGGACGGATAAGCAGCGCGCTTAGGTAGGTGCGTGAGGAATCGAAATGTTCGCGAGTGGTTAACAACTTAAACAATAGAACACTGTAGAAAATACAACTTCAATTATGCACTGTGCATCTAGAAAGGCAGTTTATTGAGCGCCGGATGTTGTCATCAAAGTAGCTGATGCTGTGTCATTGCCTTGGAACACGACATTCATCAGGTGAGTTCGAACTCCACCCAAGGTGGTGCTTTTCCCGATTGGCAATGGAGAACCCTTAACAAGGGGCGCGCCTATCAGCGTCATGACGCTTGAAACTTGTAGTTCCCGTCGAGCATGTGTAGTTCCCACCACTTCGTAGATTGGTTTAGTGGCCAAGAATAAGCTGTGCTTAGCGACTACACTGACACCAACTTCACCTGAACCAACCATCAGGTGAACAAATGTGCATAACAGAAAGAGCTATTGCAAGGGATGCTACAAGGTGGGCGTGATGCCTCCAGACTTATCAAGCGCTCGCATATAGCACGCACTGCGGCCATACTCACAACTACTTGCATTCACCAGCGCGTTGTCAATGTGCTTATGTGCTATTCGCCGCATGCTACGCTCGGTATTCTCATGTACGTGTGCGGCAAATGCTACCGGTTCACTTCACACCTGGCTCGCTGTTGAAGAAACATTGTCGCCCAAATTCCGAGCGCTTCTTGATGTAAACGTATTGGAAATCCATCGTGAATCTGGAAACAAAACGATGCGGCATGTTAAAACATAAGATTTGAGGAGATCTGCCCCTGACGTACTTAAGCTAGCAGTCGAATCTAATCGCGACAGTGGCAAAACCTGACGGACGGAACCGTGTCGATCATAGCCGTACACACCGATGGTGCAGCAATGTCGGCACGATTCGGAAACATCGCGACGAATACGAAATGCGCGAGCGAATTAGCACAAACGACCGCAGAATGGGTTTTAAGCCGTTTCCTATTCCATTTCGCGCATTCCAGCTTCTTTTGTCATTATACGTGGCCGGTCCTTGTTAAAACTGTTTGTCGTTTCCAAAGCCTCGGACATGCATGCCGTGTTACCAATTGACTGCGCATGTAATATATTTTCTGCACGAGTCCACGTACATGCACCGCAACAAAATACTCACTGTGTCAAAGCAGGCAAATTCAATTTCAGTCGTCGTAGGCGCACAGATCAAACCGCACCAAACCCGAAAACCGCCGAGACATTTCGATTTCAATTCCTTACGCACCCTGGTTCGGCTCATCTCCGTTGCTATAGTAACCGGATTGCCGCTGTGGTGTGCTACTGTATGCATTTCAGCTTTACTATACTTTGCCTTGATAAAGGAGCTTTTCGCGGTAAAATACAAATAACTTTCTTTAATATTCACGAAAAATCATTAAAGTATTCATTTCAGGTGAATCACAAGCGTACTCTACACAAAACTACCGATCAGATCACCGTAAAAAGAATGCGTCTAGTAGTACTCTAGTATGATAGTTTGGAGGCACCATGAACTAGTAGCATAGAAGTTTGGGTATTCTGGCGCAGATAATACGTGCCAAATGTGGTTGATTTTGACGAAGTGCACGTGCGGCAGATTGCATCTGTGTTCGTACGGCAAGACCAGTCAAGACCAAGGCGATAGGTCAAGGCCTCCGGGAGAGAATCGCGTTGTTAACGGTGTGGTTAGGAAAATAGTCAGTTCAGGAACGCAAGGTGTGTATTGTACGTGCGATATATGTCTATTGGTAGCATGGATATGTTGTAAATTGCTCGCTGTAGTGTTACACCAACACAAGTTGAGCTTTCTATGTGTATCTTGTGACTGTTATTTGAAGTTTTTTGACATGATGTGTTTGGAGAACCAAGACTGGCATGAGCACAGGCCAGTACAAAGTATTGATGGGAAACTATTTTGAGAAAAGCAATGCACAGCTCAGGGCCAGCTGAAAAAGCATGTTCAGTGCATCAAAACTCTATGGCAATCTTTTGTAGGTATGGAGACACTAGCTGATGTTTTTTTATATTTGCCACCAGACTTGAGATGATGAAGAAAGACCTCCACACTCAGTAGGTATAGGCCAGGCTGCATAATGCATATGTCACATGAATTGTGTCAGGTGTGGCAGCAACCATTGCTGTCACAATTTCAGCTAAATTAAATAGCTCAGAAGGGTGTTGGTAGTGTGGTGGTTAACGCGTCTACTAACCACTGCACATCTGGGAAACCAGAGGCGCGGGATTCAATTCCCTGCAGTGCCTGCCCTTCCTGCCAGGTTGAGAGGCAGGTGATGCCATATAGCATCAGCAGCTGAGTGTGTCATAAAATGCCAATGATGCACACACACACACACTCAAAGAGCTCAGAGCTTGGTGCACATGCTACATTAATTCCAGGATAGAGGTGGACAATATTTAAATTTTGCTTCTAAAGAAGTATCCAAATTTGATCCCAAAGCATTTTCTGATGCAGTCTGACTGGAGTTTGACACACAAGCCTTAGGTCCAGTGCATTAATGTTGTGAAGGCATTCAGTGCAGTATACATATTTTGTTTACAGAGCATGGGTGCAAAAAATGTATGCATATCTCTTCTGAGCTCAGATTGCATCAATCAGTATGTCATGGTGTCTTTCTGCAAGCATTTCACTATCAGTACCATCACATTCCCAGAATAGACAACTTCTGAACCTTGGTGCATGTGGAGAGGCTGGATGCACATCTCTCTGCACTTGAGACTTGCCCTGCACTAAAGAAAGTGTAAAAATGGTACACATTGTACGTGACATCTGTTAATGTGATAAATGATGATCTTGTTCATTGCCTTTTGTTCTGATATGCTCTCACCCAGTTGCATGTATAAAAAAACTGAATGTCTGCCATAACAAATTGGCCACTAACATCCCAGCTTGTTTTATATTCAATAGAAATACCAATATGTTTAGAACTTGTAGTGCCATTGTCATGAAATATTTCAGTTTTTGGCATGTTTTGTTGGATCTGCATTTAAATTATAAAGAGCATTTGCATATTAAACCCAGAGAACATACAAGATAAGTGTGTGCGCTGATGGGCAATGTCATAACATTTCAAATGTCCCCAGGTCAGTAAAAGATCCTGCTTTTCTGTTGCCAAAGCCATTAAGATGTCATCTGATGATGAGCCAGCCCCTGATGGCTCAGAAAAGATTGAAGCCTACCAAGACAAGCTGGCATTTGCTGATTTGGTAAGCTGAATTACATGGCATTTAAGTATTATTTTGGCACTTTGCCATTCCACTACAAATGTTTGTAAATGGATGGAACCATGCTAAAATGTTAAGTAGAGTTTTTAATCAGATGTCTGGTATACTATGTCTTGTGCTATGTGCTAGTGGCCAGGTGTAGGCACATTGGAGTCATGTAGATGTTTGTGTAGTCAGCATTGTCTTCAGGTATCATGTCCCATCTGGAGCTTTGGCATGCCTTGCTGACTAGCTGATGCATCCTGCAGGGCATAACTGAGGTGCTTTGCACAGCCACAGAGAGGCTCAAGTGGAGCAAGCCAACTCAGATCCAGTGTGAAGCTGTTCCTGTTGCTCTGCAAGGTAATGACACATGATGCCAATTGCATGTGTACTCTCCTTACTTGTTTTTTTTAAATTATGGTACTCCTTTTTTAAAGATGTGTCATCACTTTTTTCTCCAAGTTTGCCTTATTCAAATCCTCTCGCTTTCCATGAGTTTGAGATCTATGGCATCCTCACCAGGCTGTGCCTTGTGAATGTCCAGAGTTCAGGCCAAATATCACATCAACTAGGTCTGTGATAGCTGCCTATTAGTTTGGAAGAGTGTGTCAATCAGGTTTCAAATGTACAAGGCTTCAAAGGATGTGAGTAGTCCTGACAGCCTGTCTTCTAAAGCCACCATCTGCTTTAGCTTATTGAAGTATTGCGTTCCTCCATACATGTCCTGCTGTGGCCACTGCTATCCCAACATACCATGCACCACAGTCGCGACAAAAACATGTGCCTGCGCTGCACTACTCAAACCAAAGATACGCGCACCCTTCCACCATTGTGCCATGCTTCCGAGTCACTCAGCCCCCATTGTCCCCTGACGTCCCTGCATCAAACCCTGTCTGCGTGTCCCCACAGGCAAGGATGTGGTGGGCTTGGCCGAGACGGGCTCGGGCAAGACGGGCGCCTTCGCGCTGCCGATCTTGCAGCGGCTGCTGGAGGCGCCGCAGCGATTGTTCGCGCTCGTGCTGACGCCCACCAGGGAGCTGGCGTACCAGATCTCTGAGCAGTTTGAGGCGCTGGGTGAGTGCTGGACCATGGCTGAGGTGGCGGAGAGGAAGGCTGACTAGGAAGTAGAGTATTTGAAAGCAGTATGGGCTTTAGAGAGCCTAAAAACTAGTTGTTGTTGGTGAAGTTGATTAACGCTGAGGGACGGCAAAATTTTAGTTCAAAGTTGTAGTGCAACATGTTAAAAATTTCAAGATAGATTAGCTGGTCTTGCAGGCATGCTCTTGTTCAGCCAGGTTATGATTTCAGAGAACTCCCTTTGCGTTTATCGCTGCACGGTGGCCAGTGGCGCCGTCCACGCCGCGTCTGTCTGTGACGCCGCCACCACTGCGCTGCTCCTCCTACCGCAGGCGCTTCGATCGGCGTCAAGTGCTGCGTCATCGTGGGCGGCATGGACATGATGGCGCAGAGCCTGATGCTGGCCAAGAAGCCGCACGTCGTCATCGCCACGCCCGGTCGACTGGTGGACCATCTGGAGAACACCAAGGGCTTCTCGCTGAGGTCGCTCAAGTGTCTCGTGAGTCACGTGAATCGCCGGAGAACACTGAGCATCTCCCACACTGGCAACTGCGGGGTCGGGCCGCGTCATGTGTTGTTATCATGCAGTGTTATGCTGTGGCAACTTTGGGATCGGGCCATGTTATGCGTTGCCATCACGCCACGCCAAGCTGTGGCATCTGTGGGGTCGGGCCACGTCGTGTGCTGTCACCACGCTGCATGTGTGGGGTCGGGCCACGTCGTGTGCTGTCGCCACGCTGCATGTGTGGGGTCGGGCCACGTCGTGTGCCGTCACCACGCTGCATGTGTGGGGTCGGGCCACGTCGTGTGCCGTCACCACGCTGCATGTGTGGGGTCGGGCCACGTCGTGTGCTGTCACCACGCTGCATGTGTGGGGTCGGGCCACGTCGTGTGCCGTCACCACGCTGCATGTGTGGGGTCGGGCCACGTCGTGTGCTGTCGCCACGCTGCATGTGTGGGGTCGGGCCACGTCGTGTGCTGTCACCATGGTGCGCCACGTTACGTTGTGTTATATCTCGTCAGACTGCATACTGCCATGGCCTGTCACACTTGGTAGCGACGCGACATGCCTTCCACGCCACATGCCTTCGGTCTCGGTGCGCCATTTATGCCGCGCGGGCCCGCCTCACACTCCACGGTGTGGCTTCCCCTCGCGTGACGCCGCATCACATGGTGCCCGTCGTGTGACGTCATGTGTGACGTCACGTCGCGTCTGACGTCAGGTGATGGACGAAGCGGACAGGATCCTCAACATGGACTTCGGCGTGGAAGTGGATAAGATCGTGAAGGCAATCCCTCGCGAGCGGCAGACCTTCCTCTTCTCCGCCACCATGACCAAGAAGGTGTGCTCCTATTTGCAGGGATTCTGTAACAATAGCAATCATGCACGAAAGCGGCGGATGTCGCGGGCTGGCAGCGACGCTGCCGGCGGCCATTTTGCGATGTGTTTTCCTTTGTTTATTTCATTAAACAAAGTAAATATAAATGTTGATCCCTGTTCAGTTGGGCGATCGCCGCCATTTGCCCCTCAGCAATGCGCAGTTGGAAATGACGCCGTAATGTACCAGCATGACTGATGTTGCGTTGCCGCCCATGTCATCAAAACATACGAAGTAGGAAAGTTTAATGATGTGCGTGCAGTAACATACTTTAACAGTTTGTTCGTCGGCACCACGCGGTCCGGTCTTGACTGGTGGGTTGGGGGTGGAGCAGCGAGTTGTATCTTCCAGACCTCAGCGAGCGGGTCTGGATCAGTTGCCCCCAACAATGTGGTATTCATATTTTAGGATAGCTGCCGAGTCTGCTCCTGTTGTAGTCCGCCGCGACCGCTGTCGTCGTGTCCGCTGAAACGTGTCGTGCCCGGGATTCGAACCGGGCCCCGTGTGTGACGAGCGCGCTGCCCTGCCGGCGGTGTCGCTGACGCCGCCTCGGCGGTGCCGGCAGGTCAAGAAGCTGCAACGCGCGGCCCTGCGCGACGCCGTTAAGGTCGAGGTCTCCAGCAAGTACCAGACGGTGGACAAGCTCCAGCAGTACTATCTCTTCATCCCAGCCAAGTACAAGGTGGGGGGCCTGCCTTCTGTACCACGCAGCCCTGTTTGGTCTGTTGCCGTGTCGCTGGGCCTCGCTGGGTTTCGAAAGGTTGTGAAGGGCCGTGAGCTCATATTTTGCGATATTCCTTCAGATATTCCTTCATTTTGCCTTATGTCATACGGGTTTGGTAATGTTTAGACATTTTTCCTTTCGATCTCGTAGTTATATCCAGTTGTCATGTTGATTAGATTGATAAGTTTTTTGCAAGCGATGACGGTGCTGTGCAGGTGCGGGTGCGTGCTCCTTGTGCAGGGCTGTGTGACCGTATAACCTTAAAATGCTGCACAGCCATGCACAGCATGCTCAATTGCACCCATGAATTTGCATAAGTGCTTGATGTCGTGCTCAATTTCTTTAAAGCTCTTACAAGCCGTGTCCTTTCTTATGGACCGTGACAGTCGACCACTAATCTGCCCTCGGCCCTCGTCATGAACTGCCGGCGTTGACCTCTGGCGTGACCTCTAACCATGACCTTGGCTGTGCCGCAGGACGTGTACCTGGTGCACATCCTGAACGAGCTGGCCGGCAACTCGTTCATGGTGTTTTGCGGCACGTGCAACAACACGTTGCGTCTCTCGCTCCTGCTGAACGCGCTCGGCCTGCCGGTACGTGCCCTCCGTGACCTGACCTGACCTGGTGGCTTCCACTAGCAGCAGGCATTCCATGGCCAAGACTTCTGTTGGCGTGAACGGGGCCGTCGCCTTGCAATGGCGTCTTAACTTTGCGTGACTCGCCGGTTCCGTGTTGATTTGGTTTGTTCCCTGTGATTTCATCATGTAAGCAAATTCATGGGTACTGGAACCAAATATGTATGCTGCCTTGGCGTTGACAAAGGCTGGAATGCGGGCGATTTTTTATGGTTTTCCCCTAACAGTGCATGACTGAATGTCACAAAGGTGCATTTGAAATTGATGGCATAACACTTATGATATTATGATATGCGGTGATATGATGATAATATTTAATTATAGAATGATATTAACAGTGCTATAATGAAGTTAGGAATGATAAATCAATGATGGCAATGGCCATTCGTGGTAAACGGAGCCTTTGGCCAGTTTTCTCTGCACTACCTCTCCGCGTGGCGTCAGAGCCCCGCGCTCTCACCAGCTAGCACTTGCAGCCCCTTTACCTTGGCGAGTGTGACGAGATCCCGTCACGAGCTGCGGCACGGACCGGGGCGCGTGGCCTGACGCCGCCTCCGGCTCTCCAGGCGATCCCGCTGCACGGCCAGATGACCATGAACAAGCGGCTGGGCGCGCTCAACAAGTTCAAATCGAAGAACAAGAGCATCCTGCTGGCTACGGATGTGGCGAGCAGGTGAGCCGGAGGGAGGGGGGGGGGGGGGGGCACGACCGGTCGGTGCCGGGGTGCATCCCTGGTCGGTCGGTGCCGGGCTGACCCGGACCGGGGTACACCCCCGGCCGGTCGTTGCCGGGCTGACCCTGGTCGGGATACACCTCCGGCCGGTCGGCGCCGGGCTGACCCAGGCCGGTGCACACCTCTGGCCGGTCGGTGCCGGGCTGACCCGGACCGGGGTACACCTCCGGTCGGTCGGCGCCGGGCTGACCCAGGCCGGGTTACACCTCCGGTTGGTTGACGCCGGGCTGACCCTGGCCGGGACACACTTCTGACCGGTCTGCCGGGTCGGCTGCTACGCCTGCTGGTCCCGTGCCAGGCTGCTGAGGGTGTCGTGGCGTGAAACTGGGCTGCGAGGTGCAGAGAATGCGGTGAGAGCGGGTCGAGCCGGGTGCTGGGCTGCTGGATCGGCTCACAATTACGTGTTGTGTTGCCAAACGTCCCAGATTTGAGAGACTGCTAGTCCGCACTAAAGCATTGAAACAAACTAAAGCGAATTAAAGCACGGCCTATAGTAATGGTCGGTTTAGTGAGTTTGGCCTCGGGGGTCGGCTGGTCGGGATGCAGACGGGAGTCTTGTTGCACCCCACGTGACAGGCAGGCCCCTGGGCTGGGCAAATTACAGCTCATGCAGCGCATCCTTTGGCGTTTGCCAGCACTCCAAACTACGTCACTCGCTTGTCAAGAATATGGGCTGGGCCACTAAAACTTGACACCAGAGTATGCTGGCGGAGAATAAAGTTGGATGTGATAAGATGCGGACCGGTTCCCACACGAGGTCGGGTGTCGGTGTCGCTTGCACCGCCCGTCGTCTGCAGTCAGTGTCAGCCCGGGCTGGAGTTATAACTCAGATGGGTGCTTCAGATCGGCACAGGTCCTGTGGGGACTTGCGAGTCTGTTCACCGGAACCTCAGTGTGCTTCGGCCTGTGCGCTGTAACGGAATGAGCCGATAGCTAAACGCGTGACTAGTTTGGCTGTCAGTTTTTGGTCAGCATTAGGCTTGCGCGTCCCGTCCTGACATCTGTCCGTCCCGCTGATATATGTCTGTCCCGCTCGAACATCTGTCCGTCCCGCTCTGACATCTCTCCGTTCCGCTCTGACATCTGGCTGTCCCGCCCAGACATATTTCCGTCCCGCTCTGACATCTGGCCGTGCCGCTCCGCTCAGGGGGCTGGACATCGAGCACGTGGACGTGGTGGTCAACTTCGACATCCCGACGCACAGCAAGGACTACATCCACCGGGTGGGGCGGACGGCGCGCGCCGGCCGCGCTGGCCGCTCCGTCACGTTCGTCACCCAGTACGACGTGGAGCTGTACCAGCGCATCGAACACCTCATCGGTCAGTGAAAGGAGTGGGCGGGACTGGGGGTACGCGCGCTTACAGCCCGCAGAATGTGGTGGGAGTGCGATGGGGAACGGCTGCTAAAAACCATTTGCGGGTACTGTTTACAGATTACAGACTTTGAAAAGTTGCGGAAGGATGGGAATGTTCATAAGATGATATTTGTTTACAGAGGTGATTTCAGTGTGTTGTCTTTGCAAGCATGGCAGTGGTGGCTGCAGACCATGCCATGCGGAAGTACTGAATTCATTTGACTTATATCCAGATTTTCTTCACTTAGTCTGGTTGTTTGGCATGCCTCCCGTAACGTAGGGGAATGGTGTATGACATCATTGTCTTCCCATCACCGCACTTGTCTCTGATGTGTCTCCAGGACGCTCCTGCAGTGTCCATCCAACACAGTGCCTTCTGCATTTGTCCATTCACATTGCCATTGACATGCCCGCCTCCCCCTCCCCCTCCCCCTCCCCCTCCCCCCCCCTCCCCCTCCCTGCGGCGTTCATTCTGTGCCGCACGTCCATTGTTCCGCGCCCGTCACCTGTCCACCGCCGCTTCTGACGCTCTGCGAGCGGGGTGGCCGCCACTGGCCATCGCCCCGCCCCCGTCACCTGTCCACCGCCGCTTCTGACGCTCCGCGAGCGGGGTGGCCGCCACTGGCCATCGCCCCGCGCCCGTCACCTGTTCACCGCCGCTTCTGACGCTCCGCGAGCGGGGTGGCCGCCACTAACCGTCGCCCCGCCCCCGTCACCTGTCCACCGCCGCTTCTGACCCTCCGCGAGCGGGGTGGCCGCCACTAACCGTCGCCCCGCGGCCCCGTAGGCAAAAAGCTGCCGCAGTACGCGGCGGCCGAGGACGAGGTCATGATGCTCCAGGAGCGGGTCATGGAGGCTGACCGGCTCGCCAAACAGGTCAGCACCGACGCACCGACCCACGGCCGACCTGACGCGCCGCCTCACGGCCGACCGGACGCGCCGCCGGTTTGACCCCGGGACACGCTCTTCACCCGGACGCTGCTGTCGCTCGGCTTTCTCCACATCGGATGGCGGGAGTTGGGGAGTGGCCTTAGCGCTGTACCGGCTCGTGTTTGCGACCGTGCTCATATTGTCCGGTATACACTACGTCTCCGTATTCGTAAACCGCGGCCCCGTCGCTTTCGGGAATGCCCGTTTGCGTCCGTCGGCGACGGTTGTCGAGGTGATTACTCCAAAGAAGAGACCAAATGAAACAAAAGTAATGTCTTTATTTCACGCTGGCGGTTGGAAATCGGTCGGTGGTCGTTGGCTTCTGTAGACGGGCTTCTGCGCAGTTGCGACCGAGCGTTGTTCTCACATTTAGATGCCAACAGGTGAGCCCCAGTGGCGGTTTCTCGCCGTCCTATCCTCGCCGTCACAGAGCGGGGATCGCTGACCCTGACCGGTGACCTCCGGCCGTGACCCGACAGGAGCTGAGGTCGCTGGGCGACAAGGAGACGGGCCGCAAGCGGAAACGGCGGCCGGACGAGGAGGACGACGGCGGTGACGACGGCGAGACCGGCGTCCGGCGCCGGCTGCAGGGCAACAAGAAGCGGGGAGGCGGTCGCCGGGGCCGCCGGTGACCGCGCCGGCGTGGGCAGGGCAGGGGAGGTCTGCGGCTGGAGGCGTGCGCAGGAGGCCGGGGAGCAGGAGCGCACGGGAAAGGTGTTGTGTGAAGTGCTGCGGTGGACAGGAACGTGGACTGCCGGTGAGCAGAGGTGCACACGGAAGACGTCGAGACCATGAAAGGGGACCGGCAGCAGGAATGCCTCGTTGGACTTCACTGGTAGGCAGGAGGCGACGAGGGTCGTGAAGAGGTCTCGCAGCCCAGAACTGCAGGTGGATGGATGGGGACCAGGGCGGGCTTGCTGAAACCGGATCCAGACCCTGCGCTAGCGGGCGTGGTTAAATGCGTTCGGTGTGGCAGCCTCCTCCAGCCCGCCGCGGCTCGGCAGACCGCTGGCCGACGCCGCTGGCCGACGGTGCTGGTCGACGCCGCTGGCTGGCGCTGCTGGCTAACGCGCTGGCCCACCCACCCTCTGGCGGGCTGATAATGGCGCTCGTCACCGCTGGTGCGCTGCGCCATCAGCCGGTGGCGCCACCTAAGTGCTACAGTGCGCCGAACGTTGACACGGGGCTGCAGAACCCACGCGAGGTGCAGCGTTTGTGGTGCAGGTGTGTCGTGGGTTCGGCTCTGGCTAAATGGCCTGCGCCGTCTGTTGGCCGCCAGGAAGGACCGATGATGGAGTGTGGTCCGCTAAAGGGTGGTGCGGTCCGTCAGGGACAGCCGTGGTCCGTCAAGGACCATTGTCTCGGGACGAAGTGTCGGCTCCGTGCCCGCGGGGTTTACGAGAACGCATGCTGAAGGGATGGTGGACGCCGCCAAGCATGTTGGCGCTCCGCCTCTACCAATACAACACGCGACGTAGACGTGTCTCATGTCTTATCGCGGGCCTCAAAACGGAGGTGGCCTGGTGATCAGGGCACGCGGGTCGTCTGGCTGCGCACCACTGCCAAGCAAACCCGCCGCCAGAAAGCTGGCTGGTTCTGTGCCAGTTGGCAGGGCCTTACGATCTTTGCCAGATCGCTCAATGTCTCCCGTCTCGTGCTTCCGGACGGGGAGTAGTTAGCCACGTCATGCACATAGACATCGGACATAGCACCACAGGGTGTCTCGCTGGTCTGTATCCCCTACACATGCATATTGCGGGTCCACGGATATACACACACATATATATATATATATATATATATAGGCTTGAAGACGCCGGAAATGTGAGGCTGGCTGTTAGTTTTGTGGCCGGCTGTGGAGGTTTGCTGGTACAGCTGCCCCCCCCCCCCCCTCCCCGGGGTGGTAACTCGGGGCAGGTTTGTTGCCAGCACGGTATTCTGAGAGAGCTGCGGGCGAATGCATGGGTACTCTCCGTGAAATTTTAATATTACCCTTACGGCAGTGCGGGGAATGGATCGGCTTGGAAGAGTATTTTGCCCCCGTCCCACGCATGCCACGGAAGAGCTGCGTCTTCGGCTGCGAGCAGCTCGCGGCTGAGGGCACAGCGTTCTTAAGGCTCGGAGACAGTGCTAGATGAGGGTGGTGGTAATCAGAACGGCCTCTCGAGGGTCTTGATTATGGCCAGCTGCACCCTAATGATATAAACCAATCATCTAATCTTGATCATGATAAGGCGATTGGCTTGTGGTGCAGCAATCCATCTGAGGGTTCCGACTTCCGACTACTGCTCGGGTATTTGGGGTCCAAGTCCCCAACGTTGAACCAATAGCGTTTTCGCAGCCGCTGAGGGCCACACAAGAGCCAGGTAGATGTGGAGGCAGTCTCCTTCGAATAGTGACGTTCCTGGACCGGAGTAACTTATGCCTTATCCATCTGGTTACCCGCAGATCATACCCGCTGTGTATTTTTTGTTTGTCTCTGGCAAAACCTGCATACGGCCAGGCCAGAGATGCAAGCGAGACGCTCCTGTCTGTTTTGCATGAGGCCTTTGAACCGACAGGCAACCCCGACTGCAGCAAGCAGTCCTAGAAATTCAGGGAACACCGCATCTGAATAGCTCGTGACTGAGATAAGACGCCACAACTCCTCGTGATCATATTACCCCGACAAACGACTCACCAAAGGGGACACCAAAAACGACTCTCCGCCTGAGCTGGGCGACGGTGCCTGTGCATAGCGTGCGAGCGGCCGAGGAAATGTGCTGCCATTAGGCGCGCTGTGTTTCTTGCGACGTGCCACCGGCTTTGATTTCGGCTGATCCTAGTAAAAACCGTGGCTTTCATACCATGGTTTTGATTTGGAGGACTGTACTGTGCAGTCGTATCCCCAGGCTACTGATTACAAATCGTTTTACCTTGTTGGCCGCTCATGAATGTCACAAATATGTATGCGGCCCTAACTCATCCTGCCGCATTTCATAGATACGGTTTCTTTTTGGCACTGCTGCAGCCGGTAATGCCGCCGCTGGTGTCGCCCCCAAATCCATCACGTCGGCGGCCTGGTTTTTGCGGAGCCGCGCCGCATCCCCGCGTGACTCGCTCGTGCGAATTCGCAGGAAACAAGCCGCTCTTCTTTTCGGGTGAACCGGTCCGCCGATAGGCATCGCGTGTGATCGTTCTTCATCGGAAGCGGCCGACGGCTGTCGATTGGGGGAAAACTGCAGCGCTCAGCCCGAGGGTCGCGTTCACTTTCCCTTCCGCGGTGTCCTGCTGTTGTCATTGATGAACTGCCGCTGCGTCCGCCTCGTGCACGAAGGGCTCGGGGCTGGGCTTTTGGTGTGCTGCGGCGCTCGGGACAGAGTGCAACGAACGGAGCTAAGTGCAGTGCAAGCACGAGTACGACCGCCGGGGTTCGTCACGTTAGCGCATCCAGGAATCGAAATTTAGCCCCGATGGCCGCATTGTACTTGCCTGTCAGCTGAGGGGATTTGCCGCGTAGCGCACTCGCAGGTCACGCAGGGCTTGTGTGCGGAAGAAGCGGGATGTAAGAACCAGTCTCACGATGGCACTGAGTCCTTAGCAGGAATTCCACAGGAACTTCGACCTCACAGTGGCAAGGCCATGACAGTGGCAACGAGCTCACAGTCGCATCACTTTGCTGCGGACCAGACGTCCGTTATTGGAAGGTCAACAGCGATCTGCGAAGCAGGTGGAAGATCAATGAAAAGGGCGAGAAAATGCCCCCGTAATTGTGCCTTTGTACACTCGCTTCTTGATTAGGTTTGCAATTTCACTTTCCCTGGCACAGGTGATGTAGTTCCCTCCTTCCCTTTCCGGAGGTACCTCCAAATGGTTTGGCTTTTCACAATAAGATGCGGGAAGTATACTTTCAAAGTTGTTCGCTCATAAAGTGCAAATTTTAAGTACGTCCCATGCCATTTAGCCGAATTTTGACTTCCCTCTAAAGCATTTGCACCGCGAAAATGTAAAAACCATCGCTTCTTAGGGTTAAATGCACCCGCAATAAATCTCGTACCCACACGCTGGTGCTGGAATTTTGTAAAGCGTTACATCGGGAGCGTCATTTATTGACTGCCATTGGTGCCGGGGGCCACTGCCAGGTGCGTTTAAAGTCAAGGTTACATAGTGTCAAATTTTGAAATTGGCGTCAACTCAGGCCTCCAAAAGCACTACATTAAGAACCAAAATGACCATGATATGTGAGCGGTCATGGGAGTTCAAAGTCCGTCACCACAAATAAGATCTTAAATTTTAACTTTTTCTGAAAGACCTTCACAGATTACACATCACCTTCACTGCAGATGATCTCCGTGCAATCATTCACTGGCATGGAGCGACCTTGAATGGCCTTGCAACAGCCTTTTTAAAAGTAGCAAGTGGAATGGCTTGACTTATGTAGATACGTTTTGTTAAGCGCGCGCACACAATGCTAGGTGCAGACTGCAGACTACAATCGTGAGGTTTGACCTTGTTTGACAGGTCCTGACAGGTCACCTGTTGGGCGTGTTGTAAGTTGACCAAGGGGAATGTGGGTCACATGCGGGGTGTGGTCTGTCCTTGGAATTTATGTGTAGCACGCCGGGCGTGGCACCGGTGGGGGCGTCGTACCCCGCCACACCTTCAAAGGTGACGAAATATCAAGGGCTGGGAGGGTTAGATATTCCCCGGCACGGGGCGTGGGCGTGCCACTGCAATTCGATGAACGAAAGGATTCTGGCCTTGCATTTTACGGATGCCTCTTTTGCTTTCCACGAATGCCCCATGGTCATGTCTCTGTCGGCGGAATTGGCTGCGTAACGATTGCTAGGCGCTGGGGAGTATAGGTGCCCTGGCCTCGGGAATGAGTGAGCGTTGGTCTCGTGATCATATTCGAGTCCAGGCCATGTGGATTATTTTGTCTAGCTTGTGCACAAAGCCGATCCGCAACTTCTGCCACGGAGGGAGGTTGACATTTCGGCAGGTGCGGCAGGGTGTGGCAAGGTGCGGCATGTGCGGCAGGGTGTGGCATGTGCGGCAGGGTGTGGCAGGGTGTGGCATGCGCGGCAGGATGAAGCAAGTGCAGCTGATTTATGAGAGGTCTCTTTTTGTTTGAGTCACTTTTTCACTCATCTGTCTGTGATTTCCTTTTGACCTCATGTTTTTCTTGTTGGACTGTAATGATTCTGCAGTGGTGTGCCCTTAACAGCAGACCCCAGCGACCAACAAGAAGGGGCTTGACCATCTGTTGCTATTTGCAATTAAAAGTGTTCCGTTCGTTCCGTCGTGGTTGAAGACAGACTGTAATAGTCGCGTTGTTGCATTTCGGGTGGTTGTGTTTTGCCCGTGGTGAAAGGCTGCTTTGTATTTATCGATATTAAATAAAATAAGATTTCTGCTTTTGCTGTGAAACGAAAAATTGGGAAATTTTTGTTGAAGTCCGATTATCAACTGGCACTGGCTCAACCCATATTTGCATCCAAAATTGCACTAAAATACTGACGCTGTCATTGACGCACTCAACGGACTCCGTGTCAGCACTAATCCGGGCCTAATGTCATCCATGCAATCCCGAACGCAAATGTCAAACAGTGAGCCACGCGTCCTTGGTACCAAAGCCGAACCACCCATCCGACAAAGCCGTCCGGAAAATGCTCCGTAAAGCGTGCTGTCTTTAACGAGGAAAAGGCGTCGCTGCACCACGCGCTTATTGTCTGCAGTTGGCGATCCTCCGGCGCCGAGCCAGGGCCCGTTTTCCCGGGCCTTGGCTCGGCGCCGCGACGGGACCTGAAATCGGCAGACAGAAGGCCACTCTTTTCACATGCCTGACGGCTTTTTACGCTGTCGAAGCGGGCGACCTGCGCTAAACTGAGCGGGAAAACGGCCCGGTCCGTTGGTGACGCACGCCGCTCCTACGCAAGGTTACATTATACATGATTTACATGAATACATAACGTTGTTCATGAATACCGATATATATATATATATATATATATATATATATATATATATATATATATATATGTGTGTGTGTGTGTGTGTGTGTGTGTGTGGTGTGTGTGTGTGTGTGCGTGTAGCAAGTGAAATAGACACATCCTCATATACATGGGTGTGTCAATTAGATTTGTCAATCGGGTGTCATTATATGGTTGCATGCTACATATACGAATTTTGTGTATATCTATAAATATAAGCATTGAAAAGACATGCCTATACACCACGTTATATACATACATATATATAATATCTATATATAATTATATATATATCTATATATTATATATATATATATAATATATGTATATATGATGTGGGGAATATGGGCTGCGTGCGCGTGTTTTGGTATGGAGTTTATGCACTGCGTGCACACTCATGCGATGCGTGACCGTATGCATCGCCACCGTCCCACGTGTGGCGGCCGTTCGTCAGACCCAGCCGTGCGGCATCCGGCCACGACCGAGCCACTGG